TAAACAAGTCAGCCGTAGAATTTGTTTTATTTATTAACTACAAAACTAAAGTATTAAAAAGATATATACATAAAATTATACACATAATAAAGCCTCCAACAGAATATATATACAATTAAATTATAGCCATTTCGATCGTCAGCAGACTCGGCGATCAACGCCTGTTCGCCTTATGCAAACCCTTAATTTGATGAGAATTTCAAGCAGCTCTCATTGACAACGCAATTAACAGTGTTGCAAAACTATTTAACATTCAACATCAACAATCGGACATTTATTTAATTTAGGTATTTTTTGCTTATGTTAGCCGTTACACGCAATCCAATTCATATCATTTTTGATTTAAGTCTCACTTCAAGCTTCTTTGAATTTCGCTTTAGCCTCACCTAAAGCTTTAAATCAATTTTTAATAGCACTTAAAGATTCTTCAAATCTCGCTTAAGGCTCGTCCAAAGTTTCTTTAAAATTTGATTAAATCTAGCTAAAAGCTTACCCAACGATCATCCAAAGCTTACTTAAAGCTCACGCAATATACCCATCAAAATGCTCACTCGAAGCTGCTTTAGCGTTCGCTTAAAGCTCAATGTTTCATTAAATCGAACTTAACGCTCGCTTAAAGCTTCTTTAAAGCGCACTTAAAGCTCACTTGCCGCACACTCAAGGCATCTATAAGGCTCATTTAAATTTAACTTGAAGCTTTTTTTAAGGACACTTAAAGATCACGCAAACCTTCCTTAAAGGGCACTTAAAGCTAACGCCAAGCTCACTTAAAGCTCCCTTAAGGAAGGAATTCGTTATTTTGCAGCTTCTATATATTTTTTTTACCTTTAGATTTTAACTCCACAATTTTGGCAAATAAATAAACTACTCATGTGCTCAACTTTAGAAAAATGCCAAATGGAAAAGGCTTTAAACGTTAGTAGCTGAACTCGGCTATGTGCGTTTTAACACAATGCCACGCCCAACGGGCGGCGCTTGACGCTGAAAATTTATGTGGCCCACTAATAAGTCGGCTGGCAATTACGCTTATAAATAAATAAATCAGCGCTGCAAAAACTTCGATGGCGGCGCCTTTGTGGAGAAGCCACTGGGAGAGCCGCTGGGTGCCGCGTGCTGTGGGTGTGACAAGTGCAGCGAGTGGTGCAGCGGTCCAGCGGCGCCATTCAAATTCAAATTCACATGTGATCGCCCAAGCATGAGTCAGCTACTCCACACGGAGGCGGCCTCTCGATTGGAAATTGTGTGTGTGTTTTTGTGTCTGTGTGTGTGTGTGTGTGTGTGTGTGTGGCGGTGGGGCGGCATGGCTAGGGAGTGGAGAAGCTTCTAAGCTGCTTCTCGTCAGCGGCGCTTAATTAGAAAATTGCTAATAACTCATGCACACGAACAAATTTCAATATTAATGAGGTTTTAAGGCACCGGCCACGGCTGCAACCGCAACAACAGCAGCAGCAACAATTCTGGAACTGCGGCAACTGCAACGGCAGCGGCAACGGCGTCTTAATTGAAAACTTTTTGAATCGTGCCGTCAAATGAAGAAGATGCACCAGCACCAGCGGCAGCAGCAGCAGCAGTTGGCAGGCCCTGGCCCAAACTGTGCGCAATGGGAGGCACAGCAGCAATTGTTGCTGCTGCCTGTCTTACGCTGCCTGCCTGCCTGTTGCTCCTGTTGCTCATTAAGTTGCATGAAAACTCAATAGGTTGCTGTTTCTTGTGCTATTTTTTTTCAGTTCTTCTGCGCAATTAACGGTCGCCGTCTTTGACTGATTTAGTTATCAGCTGAGCAGCAACAGCAGGAGCAACGACAGCAACATGTTGCTGGCATTCATAATTAGCATGCAAGCGGCATAAATCGCGGCAGCGGCAGCAACAACAATTAACAGACCCAAATTGCATGCAGCACACAGTGCAGGCAAATGTAAAATGCCGCTTTCTCTCTCTGCCACACAGCGACAGCGGCAGCAGCTACTTAGCATGCAGTGCAGTGCTTGATGCCTGCAACAGAACACGTAGGCAATAGCAGCAGCAGCAGCAGCGACTGTCAATTATATTAGTTGCTGTTACACAGCGCGCTAATTCAAAAATCATGCGTGGGCAGCAGCAACAGCAACAGCAGCAGCAACCTGGCACGCCAGCAACATTGCCCTCTATGCCAGCAGCAACATGGACGCTAGCAACTTTTCTTAATTAAGTGACGACCTGTTGTTGTTGCTCAGCTGTTGCTGGCTGTCGCTGCTGCATGCAAATTTAATTTGCGTCTTGCCGCGACCTTTGGCCATTGCGTGTTGCTGCTGCTGTTGTTGCTGCTGCTGCTGCTGCTGCTGCTGCTAGCCCCGGCCATAACTTCTCGGCAGCAACATTTCGCATTGTTGTTTGGCCACAAATTGATATTTAACTGGTTGGCTCTGGGTCTGGCCTGGTAAAAGTTCGCACGACTTTTCGCCTATTTAACATTTACGATACGTTCGTAACCGGGCCTCCCTACCCCTCTCCCTCTCTCTCTCTCTCTCTCTCTCGATCTCTTCTCGATCTTTTTGCGATATTCTCGATCGTTGCTTCTGTCGTTATCTGTGGCAATATCTCTGGGGCCAATCCACTTCTGCTGTTTGCCAGCATTTCTATCGTGTGTGTGCGCCGTTAATGTTTTTACTTAACCAGATACACGCACACACACACACACACACTTACACACACTCATGCACCTCGTTGCATGCTGTGTGCGTAGCGCAATAAATCAAAGTTTTATTTGTTGAAATAAATTCACAGTTTATTGGTTCGTTATTATTTGCGCTGCTGTTGCTGCTGCTGCTGCGCCAATGAATGTTGTTGCTGGCTGAGTGCAACAGCAACAACAACAGCAGCAACAACAACAACAACAACAACAACAGCAGCAACAACTGCGACAGACAGCTATCAAACACTCGCAACTGCCGGAAATGTTTATTGTTCTTGTTGTTATTACTGTTTTTGTTGTACTTGTTGCTGTCGCTGTTGTTGCTGGTCTCTTTCTAATTTTTGCTTCGCTGATTGCTTGAATATCATGCGTTTAGCTGACGGCCAACGAATGAATTTGAATCGAATTTATTGCTTTGACTTAACGAAGCCTTCAATTTTGCCATGCCTAAAATTGATCTTAAACAAAATCAATAAGAGCTCTTGAAAATTCTCAGCAGCCTATTTATGTGAATATACTTTCACTCAGTACAATATTTTATATATAATTTATCTATTTACAATAATAATTAATATATTGTTGCCTTTGTTTCGCATTGTTTGCCAACTAAGTACTTCACGTATTGTCTATCTACCGGCAGTTTTAGTTGAATGCCAGTCTTAGTCTGATGGTGGATGTACTATCTGCAACAATTTTGTTAGAGTTGTTAGAGTTATTTCAAAAGATGAGAAAGAGCTTGTGAAATATATTTGTCTCTATAAAAATCGACCTTTAAGTCCTTTTAATTATATTTAAAAATATATGTAGATTAAATTACAATATACATATAATATGTAATGTATAAAATATAAGTATACTATATTTATTACTATATATATTTATCTAATTATTTAATTTAATTTTATTTGCCAAGCGTCTTATTGAGCATTCAAATTTGTGGCCATTGAAGCAAATTTGGTTGCCTAAATATACACAAGAGAGAAAAAACGAATTTGACGCCGAGTTATGCCTATTTTGTGTGTGTTTTTTCTTTGTAATATTTTATATTTTGCTGTGCGGCGCTGAATAAAATTGCAAGTCAAGCCGGTCTGTGGCAATACCACGCCCTCAGTACACCAACCGCAGCCCCGCCCCGCCCCAGCAAGCTTCGGCCGCCCTCTCTTAGCCAGTTGCAGTCCACCTGCCTGTCAAGAAGCTGTCAGTGACATTTTTGAACCCTGACCGTTTTTAATTTGCAGGCGGCTGCGGCTGCCGCGAATGCAGCCACACGCTTTGCCATTAATTACCAATAGAGATACGAAGTGTGCAGCTATAAGATATGAGTATGCATGTTTGTGTGGCTCTGTGTGTGTGTGTGTGTGTATGTGTGTGTGTGTGTGTGAGTGAGTGTGTGCAAATATTACGCAATGTCTTCAATTAGCAAACGCTGGAACGTTAAATTAAGAAATTGTTCTCATGCCTCGCTCAAATTGTGCGCTATGCTTTTTCATGTTGATGTCTATCGATAACGATAACAATTAAATTGAAAAATTAAGAATGCTAAACGCTTAATGAAAACAGTTTTATTCGAAAAAAAAGACGTAATATAAACAGAAATGTAAAAGAATCAACTCTTTATGGAAACAGTAAAACTAAGTTCGCAAATTATTCTTTCCATTTTTTGGATACTTATCGAAAACGAAAAGATTGAAAAAAAAGGGATGTTCAACAAAAATTTTAAGCATAATTTATATATATTATTATTATTATTATTATTATATTTTGTGCCCCATCAATTTTGATGTCAATATTTATCGATAACAAAAACGATTAAACGAAAAAATTAAGAATGTCAAGCTTTTAATGAAATGGTAAAATGTAAAATAAAAATGTGCTCAAAATATTTTACATAATATAATTTGTGGCTGACGAATTTCGATGTCAATACTAATCGATAGCAATAACAAGAAAATATAAAAGTTGAGAACTCATTATAAAAACATGAGTAGTAAAGGCAAACCCCTTAAAATTTTTAATGAAATATCTTAAGCCATTTTTGTCTGATAGCTAAAAACTTATATGTACAGTTTTAATATTAAAATAGAATATGCACTGCGAGAAAAGGGCAATAAGAACTAAGTTCTTTAATTTTCTCTTTGAATTATATTTTACAATATTTTATTTATGCGTACTCCATTTTTCATCTCTTATATCGATTCTTTGCTTAGATGTAGCACGTATCTAAAGAAGATTTATTCATATCCTGCCTATTTTCTCTATGTATATTCTTTATTACGTTTACTCATATAATATATATTAACATTGTTTCATTTCTTTTGTCTATTTGCAGCAGCGTAAGCTGTCACCGACATGGGCAGTGAGCAATACTGCTTGAGGTGGAACAATCATCAATCCAACCTGTTAGGGGTGTTTAGTCAATTATTACAGGACGGGAGCCTGGTGGACGTTACATTAGCTTGTTCAGGGGGCCCATCCATCAGAGCCCATAAGGTGAGTGCACTTTCATGCTAATATTGGGGGCTATAATAAATAATAAAAAAATCCAACAGGATTTGTTATCGAATAAATATATATTATTTTACATAACTTTTAGCCATTATGCCCAAATAAATCCTGTTGGGTGCCAAGCAATCGAATTCTCGATTAAAATCGTTTTAGTGTTATCCTTAAGTAAGGAATTACATAATAGACACAGGGGTTCAAGTCTAAAGAATATGATGAAAGGAAAACTAGTTCATAGTAGAACTTGTATATTTCCAGTGGAAAAGAACTTGCTCCTATGCCCCATATTTCTGGCTTATTAATTAAGTCCGTATTAAGTGTTATTTCTATTATTATCCCATAGCATATAATATCTACATATTATTAACTCAAGTCAGCTGTGGCAATCAATTCTGTGCATATATATTCACAATTGCCTCGATTATTTGAATTAATTTCAACGAGTGCTGCCCATGCATTACGTTTTCCAGCCAGTTGGCAGCACTGTTAACGAGCAACGGCAAATGCAACTGCAACTGCAACTGGAAACTGTAAAATGCGGAAGCTGTCGCAATGTTGCGATCAAGGTCGCTGTTGCTGCTAAAGTTGACGTTGGCGTTGGCGTTGGCGTCGCAGTTGCTGCCGCTGTTGGCGTTGTAGGCCTCTCGTAATGCCAGCCGCATAAATTAACGAAGCAGCCACAACAGCAACGACAACAACACGATCAAATGCAATTTACACATTTGTCAGTAAATTGTCAACTTAGCGCGCGCCGCAGCGGCGCTTAACGCGACAGCGCTGCCGGCGTCGCTGCATGTTGCTGGCGTGGCCGCGTTTGTTGCTGGCAACAATGTTGACAAGGTCAGCGCCTAATAGAAATTGACTGCGCCCCAGCCTCCGTCTGCCACGTGGCTGCGCTTCGTGTGGTTACATGTGTGTGCGTGTGTGCGTGTGTGTGTGTGTAAGTGAGTGCATAAATCATGCGTTGCCAGGCAGCCAGCAACAACAACAACTACAACAACAACAACAACAACAACAACTGCAGCAACAGCAACAACAGCTACCGCGGCCGCTGCAACATTTTGCGCACGTCTGTCAATTGAAATTCCTGTTAAATTAAGCGGAAAATATTTAACTGCGTTGCTGCTGCCGCAACGAACAGCAACAACAACAACCTGTAGCCAAGTGGTTGCTGCTACCTTTTGATGTTTAAGCTGATAAAGTTATTTTGAATGTATGTAATTTCTTGTCGTATAGAAAAACTGGTAAATTGTTCAATTATAATGCGTTTATTATGCACTTGCAGTCCGCTGACAACAGCAGCAGCAACAACGACAACGACAACAATTGACACTGATATTGCCAGTGATTGGCACAGCAAGTGCTCACCCAAGAACACTTAGCCAAGTAATTCTCGCGCTCCCTCTCTGTCTCTCTTTCTCTTAATCTTTCTCTCTCTCTCTCTCTCTGTCTGACACTTGGCTAACAGCAGACAGCCAAAGTTGCTCATTAGGCCACGTTTAGGCCTGACAGCGACAAGAATTGTTGCTGCGATACAAAACGGATTTTATTAATTTTCTAGCTGAAAGCGGCCAGCCGAGTTCTTACCCTGATATTTAAAGAGCGTAAATAGTGTATTATTTAGTCCATTTTATTTAAATAACAATCAAAATCAGAGTCAAGGCTTCGTGTTTCTATAAAACTAGTCACATACCCTTTTTTTTGTATATCTCTCGCTATCTCTCTCTCTGACACTCTCACTCTTTCTCCCTCTCTCTAATACTTTCTCTTTCTCTTGTTCCCCATCTCTCTCGGTCTCATATGCTTTCTATTTATCTATCTCTCTCGCTATATTGCTCCTCGCTCCCTCTCCCTTTGTCTCTCTTCCTCTCCTTAACTTTAAACGTCATCGTCTTGAAACTTTGCATAGCTTCGATCAATTTGTTGGCTATTATATCATCTTTGGCTTGAAAAAATCCTCTTAATAATTAAAAATCAAAAGAAAATTGTATTGAAAACATTTATCTTTCTATCAAGCTATCAATCCCACACCTGTCTTCTATCTCTGAGTGCATTCTTATCAACTGCGAATAACAATATCACCCAACTCTATAGGCAGCACCTGTATTGATAAACAATTTTCGCAAGGAATCACTTTAAAGCCAGGTCAAGTGCTTAGGCCAGCCTTGTTGTTGGCCTTCGCCTGGGGCTCTGCACTCTCAGTTACTTGATTAGGTATTAATGGGATTTGTATGCACTTATCAAATGGTATGCGCCAGCTAATCATATATCCAGCGTATAACTAGCCAGTGCAAGCCCTTTCCCTGCATCTACAGCTCAAATGGTAGCTGAAGCTGAATTCGGTTGACAAGGCCCAAACGCCTTTTCAATATGTTTGCCAATACTTTTGCTCTTTATTTTTTTTTCTTTTTCGGCTGGCAAGTCAACTTCATTAGCCGCACAGACAACAACAACAACAAGAACAAGAAGTTAACTATCGGATGAATTCATTTCCTTTTTAGACAGACTTTGCAGTCAACAAATATTGCCTAAGGCAGACGAAATTACAAGAGAGAAAAAGAAACAAAAAGAAAAGAAAAACAAAGATTCGCAAAAAAAATAGCAAGAAAATATCCAGAAAATGAAATTGAAACTGAGCGATGCTTAGCTCTATGTGACTTTGAATAAATCCTTGGCATATGCAAGTGTTGCTGTTGTTGTTATCGCTTTGGCAAACTAATTAGCAAATGTACACACACAGACACGCGCACACACACATGCACGCACACACACTCGGACAAATGTCAACATTTCTAAAAGCCAATAAAGCAAGGAATTGAAATGCTAAAGCAACTCGAGGCAGCAGAAGCAGAAGAAGTCCTGGCCGAAGCTGTCAATTACTTTTGCATATCCTTGCAGCCACTCTTTGTTGTTATTTTTGTTGTCGTTGTTGTCGTTGTTGTTGTTGTTGTTGATAACGAGCTCAGTTTTGACGCTGCAGGCGCCTTCACAACCGTCCGAAGAGCGACAAAAAATTGTTAAATTGATTAAAAAGCAAAGTGTCGATGAACGAGCCAATGATGACAGCCAGCCCAGCGCCACAGACACCAGCCAGGACATTAAGCCAGCCGGGCAGTTGGCCAGGACATGCCAAAGTCAATGCGACAAATAAAAAATACAGAAGCGTGCGCCAGCAAAAAACCCGAGTCCAAAGGATAACCAGCAGGACAGCAACTGTGCGAGGGATAGAGCGACCGATAGAGCAAGAGGAAAGAGTGGGGGGAGGAAGAGTAACAGAGAGCAGAATCGTAGCTGACGACAGGGCGCCGCATGTCCTGGAGTCTAAACACGCGCAAACCAACAAACGGGCTGGCCTTAAAGTTTGCCAAAGTATTCGCAAACAATTGATCAGATTCACGACTGCCACATACCCTGTTCGAGCAACGCAAAGAAAAATAACAAATATTACAAATATAATTAACAATTCAACGACAAGAGTTTACCAAAATAATTGCTGAGGAACTAACGGACTTTGAAATCAAAAAGAAAAAAGGGCACTCAAAAAATTTCTAAATAGAAAAACGCTGTCAAACCTTCAAATGAAAACGTTTTTATTTTAATTTAATAAATCTTTCAAAAACACTGTAGGCTGTTTTTTCCAACATTTTGACTACCCTATATGGTATGGTACCAAAAAATCAAAAAACAGGTTTTCCAAATCGATATTTATCGATTTTATGCTAATTGAGCAAAGTTATCGATGCTCTTCAGTAAACTTTAGCTGTGTGTTCTGTGAAACTTGTAGCCGAGAGCAGACGGACGGTCGAACGGACGAACATGGCTAGATCGACTCGACTGATGAAGGCTATATGTATGTATATATATATTTTCCTATATATATTATTTTGTAGTATCAGGAATGCCTTTCTACATGCATGTCAGAAATTACATTTTTCTTGCAAGCGTTTCTTAGCGAGCGAGCACGGTACAACTATTTGTCTAGCCCTCGCAACGACTAAATATCCTTGGCTATTGCTGGTCATAGTTCTATGCACATGCATGTTTGCTCATATGCATGAGTGTGCGTGTGTGTGTGTGTGTGTGCTGTAGTTTTTGCTGCCCGCACAGCCGCAGGCTTTTGTGATATACCGCACCGCACCGCAGCACCCCGCCGCGCCCGGCTTTGCCTCGGTTGCTGCGGCCATTCGGTCTCAATGCCAAACGGCGGCGGCACTTTAACTCAATTTGAAGCATTTAACGTATGCTCGGTTGATATTTGATGCGATTTGGAGAGGAGTCGCACCAACCACCCGCTCTCCATTGTGAATTTTTTTTCTTTGCATCAGGAGCAGGCACTGCACGGATGTGCGGATGTGTTGCCCAGAGGCAAACAAAGTGTAACAAATGTCGTTGGCAAACTGTCGGGAGCCACTACAAAAGGGAGTCACTGACCAACGCTCGTTTGTCGGGTGGTGCAGGTGACCCCCTGCTGCCTGCTGCCTGCTGCCTGCTTGCCCCCCGTTGCGCGCTGCGGCTCGTCGGAATTGTTGGCAAATGACTTTCAATGACTTTTGGGGGTAACTCGACTCGAAAAAATTGTGTGAAAAACTCTTGCAAATATTTGCAGTTGACTTGTTTTTCGCTCACTCTCTCCCACACTCTCTCTCTCTTCCTCTCTTTCTCTCCCGCTGGCTCCTCTTTCTAAATACGCATTGTGCTCTTGTCGGGGGGGAATGTTGTCTTAAGCTGATTTGTTGGCTGTCTAAGAGCTGATTGAGTTGGAATAATCCTCTGCTCTGCTCTGCTCTGCTCCTGTTGCCAGAGTCAATTTGCATTGGCTCTGTGGGCAGCACAAATAGAATACAGTTCGTATGGGCGTGGCAGCAGAACAGCATGTTCAACAACATGCCACACATGCTTCTTGTTGCTGCTCTTGTCAAAATGCATATATGCAAACACTTAACAGCAACAACAGCAGCTCGTAAGTCTTGCCAACACTTTTTTTTTTT